AATAACCACTTCGATTATGGTTTACCCGCAATTTTTGATATTCCTAGTATACCGCCCTTATTGCCAGTTTCCCCTCCAACTAGTGGCTAAGAAGTATGGGTAGAAACCTTCAAAGATCTGGTGACGAGCGGTCACTGGGGGGTATCACCACCGGAAATCGACCTAGATTATTTCCGTGACCCGTATAATATGCCCATGGATGGAACGGGAGAATGGATTTTCGATGAGCCTTGGTACAAGGAGTGGCAGGATGGCAAAGGGTCCCAGCTTCTCTGGCTTTGTGGTGGCCCGGGAACGGGAAAGACGATGTTGTCTAAGCGCGTTGCGGCCAAATTTCTACTTAGCCCCGGCGGTCCTCGCCGGGGCGTTAAATTAGTTTACCACTTCGCCTTGCCCGAACCTCCGGCCGAAGGCACATTTTCTGATGAGACCGAGTCACGAAAACACTGGCTTGCCAAGGTAGCCTGGGACCTACTTTATGGTATTCTACAGGAAGATGGGTTGCTTTACGATGGGTGCAAACGTGAGCTTGAAAGTCAGGGGGATAGACTTTTCGCCAACCCGAATTCTCTCTGGAAGATTCTAAGGGGGGCGATACTGGATTCCCGGGCAGACTCTATATACATTCTCAGCGATGGTATAGATGGGCTCAATGAGGATTTAGGTAAGGAATTGATTGGAAGAATTTTGGGGCTCATGGATCTCCCCAGGGTCAAAATATTTCTATCGAGTAGGGACGTACCCCACATTTCTAATAATCTTTCTAGACGGACTAAGATCAATATTGATGCGAAGGACTCGGTTAAAGTGGATTTGGAAACTTTTATCCGGGGCAGTGTTAATGCATTTGGGGGGTGGAATGACGAACAGAAGGCTGGAGCAATCAAAACTCTTTTGGCAAAGTCGGAAGGAACCTTTCTCTGGGCATCTTTTGCGATTGAAAATTTAAAACAGTTTTGCGCAGGCCCTAATTATGAAGCCTTTCTGGGGAGACTCCCGTCGAAGCTTATACATATATACCGAAAAATGTTACATGAGGTCCTGTCGCGGGAAGGATCGGCAGAAGTCCTGAAGATGATTCGGAGTGTGGCGCTCGCCTTCCGCCCGCTCACTTTCGGCGAATTCGGATATATCCTAGCAAGTATAGATGAAGGCGGAGTAGGAATTGAAAAATCGCGCTCTTCTCGGGGGACTCCCAGGATTCAACCGAAAACAGAGGAAGAAATCCGGCAGTACGTCCAGTCCTCTTGGTCATTTCTCCGGGCTACCACTACTCATGTATCAATTGTCCATCATACCGCAGTAGAATACCTTTTCCATGAAAGCCTCAAGGATAACCCCCATTTACCCACCAAAAGTGACCTGGACCTCTCAGTTTCCTGGGAGTGCTTCCGATACCTTCACCGTGCCATTGCAGCTATTGAGGTACCTCTACAGGGAACTAGTAGGGGGCGTCGCGAGATATCCTTGAAGCTGAGTTTAAAGCGAGATCTCCAAGAGAATCCAGCAGAGACTCCGCAGGAAGTGGCGCAGAAGAACCAGCAGGATCCCGTTGCCAATTGGCCATACCTTAGATATGCCGCAGAATACTGGTTCCTTCATGCCCGTCGAAGCCTAGAGATCCCAGAGCACAAATTCTGTGAAGACCCTCCCCGTAACTGGCTAGATTATAATTTCTTCGGTAGCAGCGATGTCATACGGAGGCCATGGATAAGGTACTGCGGGGATCCAGAAATGGAGGTTTTAGCAGGGGAGCAGACGCCACTGCATGTCGCAGTCTGTTTGGGGCTTACACCACTTGTCAAAACCCTCTTAGATTCCAGTTCAGCAATAGAGTTTACCAATCATAATCATTCACCCCTGCACCTAGCGGCCAAGTTCACGTCCGGGGCATACCAGATCCTGATTGACCGGGGCAGCCCATCCCTCCTCACTATGCCGGACACACAGGGGAACACGCCCCTACACCAAGCCGCCATTTCCGGCCATTGGCGCATGCTAGTAGCCTTGGTGGAAAAGTTCGTAATGCCGGAGAATCAGATATACAGTGGCCAAATCAACAGGAAGAACGATTTCGGCAATACCCCGCTTCACCTCGCTTTACAATTCGATCACACGGGTATTGTTAAGTTTCTAGTTGAGAAGGGCGCGGATCCGACTTTAAGGAACAACATGGGGTTGACAGCATTGGAATTGGGTGACAAGCTCGGGAGAAGAGATATTTCAGATATTCCAAAAGAAGTCGCGAATCCTAGGGAGGTGGCGAGGGAGGAAGCTAGGGAGGAGACCGGGGAGGAGGCCGGGGGGGGGGATACGGAGGAGACTGCGCAGGAGAAGAGAAAGAGGAAGGGTAAGATGGAGGGGGCCGAGAAGGATATAAGGGAGGTGTTCAGGGAGGAGTTCACTGTTATCTGGGAGGAGATCCGGCAGCTTAAGGAGGAGATCAAGGAGATCAGGCTGGGAGCCATGGAAAAGGCCAGGGAGGAGATCCGGGAGGAGGCTATGGAGAAGGCTAGGACGGGGTCTAAGAAGAAGAAGAAGGGCTGGAAGAAGGTCAAGGACAAGATTAGGAACCCGACCGGGAAGGAGTCTAGGGAGAAGACTAGGGCGGGGCGGGGGAAGGGAATGCGGAAGTGACTGCCTGAGAGACTGTCACGGAGACTTGGAGGGATGACGCCGGGGAGTCCCTAGGTGCCTTTTGGGGGGCGATGGGAGGAGCCTAGGAGGAGCCCGGGAGGAGTCTGGTTACATGAGCATTGGGGAAAGCGGGGCGGCTACGAATCATTGTGGCTAAATTTCCTACTACCATACGCTTGGGCGGGAATTTTCTGTTACATCTAGTTCTCTGTCTCGGTGCATACAACCCTGCTGGCCAGGGGGATTGCTCTTGCGGGCCGTAGGCTCCGCTCTTTTGGGGAAAGTGTTGGCTTTGTTTGTTTCTTGTTTCGCTGGCTCGCGATATTTGTCGAGCGCGGGTTATTGGTGAAATAGCGTGGGATGGCCGAATACACTGGTTGTGCAGGTTACCAGCTATGCGAGGGTGTTTCGAGGGGGAGGGCGGAGGTGGGAGATGTCTCTCGTTAGTTGGCTTGTTCATTTATTTCCCGCGAGGAACGTATCCTGATTTATGCTTTTTCTTGAGATTGTTCCACTAGCTTGGTGAATTTATTAACTACTTGTGCTATCACGCTATCTTATGAGCCCTCAGCTAAATGCGGCTCTGGTCGTGTTGCACTTTTGTAACTACCGTACATACCGGTACTGCTTAGTTCATCCGAGAGTGGTGGTGGCAGTAGTTGGGCGGGCCCTGACAACCCTATCACTAGTCGCCTAATGGTACTGAAATAGACTAATAGTTGTGTGACTGGATATGATTCCACATCTAGTTTTAATCACCCGATCCTTCCATCATCCCTTGATTGTAAGCAACGTTCACAAAATAAAGGAAGAACTCACCCAAACCGCCTCCCTTAGGGCAGAAGATGCACCCCATGGCCCATGGGGTTTTGGGAACCGAAAGGAGCTGTGAACTAAGCCGACCAGGCCGTCTGAGCTAGTATGAAATCTATACCGTATGGCACTCAAAGGTCAATCTCCAAGCCTTCCCCTGATAGCCCTAATGACTTACACCCAAGCCTGAAGTCGCGATATCTATGGTTCGTGACACCCGAAGCGTGACCCACGAATTTCATTATTTTCAAACTCTAAAGGTTCCAGCCCCACATCCTCTATTACAAAAAAACAACAACCTGTTCTATAAAGAGCAAATGAGAAATAACCAGAAACAGGTTTTTTTTTGTCAATCAGAGTTCTGGATAAAGATCCTTTAGCTTTTAAAAACTTGTATTTTTGGTATAAAAGGGGGAAAGATGTTAAGTCGGCCACACCACAGTTTGTATTCCAAGCCATTCCAATAGCATATATAAGACCCTAAATCAGAGGGTTTTTTTTTTGGAATTTGGCTCAGATTTCTGCATTATACTTCAGGCAGTATGGTAGTTAAACATGGGTGTAAAATTTATAGACAAGTTATTGATACTATAGATTTAGAACAATAATTATGTATCATACTATAAACTAGTATCAAATCCAGATTATAGTCCAATGATGATTTCCTACATATACTTTTTCTCAAGTAACTATTTTATAGGTTGTATTATTTTTATATACTTATAGATGTTCCAATACTTGTTAGAACCTTAAATTTACGCTATTATATAATATAGATGGCTATTATATACTATCAGTTAATCTTTGTGCAGTGGAAACCTAGAGCCTCTAGCCCTAAATTGTCTGTTTCTTGGCATCCTTGCGTGCACAGTCACGTAACATTTTTTTTCAGCCTGGTGCACGTTTTGGGTGTCACGAACCATACCACGCAGCTCCTCACCCTCCCCCTTCCCCGAACAACTTGGGCCAAACCCCAGGCATCAGTCCCTTGCCATGGGCATTCGAGAAATAACGCACCGGGTGCTTCCTCTAGGCGTTGCTCCTCGCGAACTCTGCGAATGGGAGCCCCTTCTTCCGGAGAGCACTGGGAAACCCCCCAATGGGAAATATGTAAACGGAAGTTATGGGTAAAGCTTTCTCGGGCGATCCTTTTTACCGCCCCCTCTCAACCTCATGAATCTACTGACGGTCTACTGACAATGCGATAATCCTGGCGTAGATGATGGGTGGACTTGGGGGAGCATGCGGATATGTGCGTGGAAATTTGTATTGCGGATGTGTGCCAGGATCTATGTATGGATGTGACTGTATGGGGCTATACCACAGCTGCGGTGCTTTTTATACACAGAAGCTTTAGCTAGTAGTTTTCCTGCATAATTAACATATCTTCTATGCTTACAGCAGTAAGATAATCAGGTGAGCCCTCCAACCGATATCAGGTTATAAGGCATTGCAAGAGATATCCTTTGACTACTATAGCTGTTATGAAGATCTATTTATACTTCAACCAGCTTTTTTCAGGAAAAAAAAAAAGATCTACTCAAGTAATTATGAGCGAACAAGATAGTTTATTCTTAAGTATTTTAGGAACAGTGGTAAAAAATGAAGTAATACAAATTGCCATCCTTGGTAATTGTAGATAAACTCTTACCAACTTGAAAAAGAACTCTAAGCTGGCTTGGGACAGGGGGGTAGGAAAGGGAAGAAGAGGTGAGAAAGGGGTGAGGTGAGGAAAAGAGTTCAAATTCCATGAGGTCTCAAAGGGCCGATACTGGTTCTTGGGCACTATAGTGCAATCGATTCAGGTACTCTACAAAAACGAATGTAAACAATACTGCAGGGGTCATCCCGTCTAACCCCTCGCCACCTCCTCTGACTACATCTCGGTCGTTCCCGGCGAATCCTGACTTCACTTCCTCCTCTCCTTCGATTCATCGGTCTCAACAGCCGAAGTATTATCCTTCTCTCCGTCGAGAAAGACATAGGAGCGGAATTCGGTGTTTCCCCACTCCGGGCCATAGAGGTTGCCATCGCCAGCCCAATCTTCTGTTAAATAGTAAAGGAGCTATCAATTCAGGTATTAATCAAGTACCGAGAGCAAGGAGAATAGGATGCGGTAAACTTACACTACCGTGAAGGACTACGACAACATGGCCCTCCGATCGGGACTTGAGCCATTTACGGACGAATCCAGCACGCTCCCTGACAGTACCAGAGTCGGGTGCCCATTTCCCTTCCTAATAGTTTTTAGCACGAGAGCCATGCCCCCAAGGGCGTGTGGAGGAGCACATAGTACCTTCGAAGTCCAGTCATCCGGAAGACCGCTAAAATCCAGTCCTTGAAACAATTCCTCCTTCTCTAACACTTCACGGCTACTCCCGGTATCACATGGCATGCCGGACGACTCCTGAAGCTCTGCCAACAGCTCCATCTTGACACCACTCTCGATCTGCTTCTTGAATCCAAAAAGCATCGTTTGAATCGTTCGCTTTAGCGGAGAGGAAACAAGTAAGTCGATCGGAGGCTCAGATGGGAACTTATTCGAAAGATTATGACATTGGGCTTCGCCCAAGGGCGTTAGGTAGGGATCGTGTAAATGGCATTTCCAACCAACATTGTGATGAGCTTGTCCGTGGCGAACGAGGGTGATGATTCTCGGAGCCATTTCTATGAGCAAAGATTGGTCGGGAAGCTAAGGAGCAAATGAATAAAGTGCCGGCCGGGGAGAAGGCAGTGATAAAAGTCCTAAGGGGAACCGTATCCCAAAGCCACTTCAGAACAGTCCAGTCATAGTCGGCTAGGCCATTTAGCTTTTGCTCAGGCTATCCCTAGCCCTACTGTCGCACTCGTGCCGTACGGTCACCGGTAGACTAGACTTGGTGAGTCCTGAGCGGGGCAACACCCTCAGCGAGGCTTGGCGATATTTGGCAGCAAGGGTCCGGTCAACGATAACAGAAAGCCAAGCCGTGCCGTGCCTCGCCCAGGGTGTCGTCTCGCTAAGGGTATCCCCTCGTTGAGGAGGTCGCCTCACTGAAGACTCACACGGTCTCCTTCTCCATTTTTGTCGAACGGGGGATAGCTTGGGGAGCACGGATAAGGCTTGGGAATAGGGTGCGGTACTGTGGTCTACCGGTGCTCGAATACGGTTCGGCAGGAACGCTGGATCCATGCCAAGACGGGTATGGTGTAATTCTGCCAATTCCAACACCGTCCATCACTACTCGCATCCAACAACGAGGTTGTTCAGTATGATAGTATATATGATTTTGTGTTCCGGTCCGGTGGGGCATGAACTCTTCTCGTGTCTGCTAAGGTACGTATGGAATTCGGCTTCCCTGCCTCTCCGTAGATTCTGTCGCTATTTGCTAACCGGGGCTTCTTATCTGCTAGGTGCTGTGTCCCCGAGCGGCTATGCCTCAATCCCTGCCTAGGGAAGCTAGAAGGAGTCTGTAGGAACTTGTGTATTCCCCCAATCCACCCAAACAGATAAGCAAGAAACCCAATAAATTGAGCTATAAATTGGTCTATCGCTTGCTTCTCCCACTTCCCCTCCACCACCGTCCCTCCTGCCTGGGTATCGCGAGCGCTACGACTAACTTAATCGTTGGTCCCGTGTCTCTCCAACAGAAAGCATTTGACAGCCGTTGCATGGGTGAAATGACAAAATGTTTCCGTAATCCTCCCCGGGGTTTCTAGTGTGTGGTGTGTTTCCCCGTGCCTGCCCCCGGCACTCCTTCTCACTCGCCCATACTACCGGTATCCTGTCACCCACACCATCTAGTACTCTGATCAGTTCTCCCACACTGCGATAGCGATAATAATACTTCTGGGTTTTAGCTGGAGTGTGGCCGACGGTCACCTATTATCGGGGGTAGCCCTGGTTGGCTGCTGGAGCGGACGGTGAGCGAGCTGGCCGATTCACATTCATGATGGTAAGTGGGTAAAGCAAGGGGAGGGATCTGATACCAGTAGGTGGTCTCTCTGGAAGGATCAGATTACCCCGTAGGATTAAACAGGGTGAGGAGTTGTCGGTTTATGAAGTTGGACCTATTTCAGGGCTTCGCCGTGCCAGGGTTATATGGAGCCGGGGAGGCACCCTTCAGCCGGCTCTGTCCGTCGTGTCTGGGTTAATATATTTCTGCCAAAATACCATTTTCATCATTCCTTTAAGAACCACCATTACCCCGAGTGATATGTGAGGCCGGCATTTCCTGGGATGTGGAGTCTGATATTCCCCACATATAGTAGTAACTTTGCCACTCCCCCATTCCTTATTCTAGCTACTGATAAGATGGGCGCACGGTCGCACCAGTCTGCCCGGTCTGGGACGATTTAATTTCGCTCCGGCTGTGGGCTTGCTACTTCCTCCCTGCCCTAACGATCGCTTTGATTTTACGGGATAATATCTCCTCCCCACGAGTGTGCCCCACCCAAGCGCAGACCTTCCCTTCCCTTTACATCTCTATCGATATCTAAAGCGCTTTCTTATCCTAGTACGGCTAGCGATGCCTGGTAAGTTTATGGTAAGTTAGCGGGTGTAACTTTATTGGGTTGCACTGTATCCATTTACCAATGAAGTGGGCATAGGCGGAGTGTTGTAGTCATAAATTTGGGGGAGATCGATTGGACGGTTCTAAGGTAACTTATCTATAAGGTTCCACAAAAAAATCCCGCTTCTCTTTAGCTCGGATTGCAGTATTCAACCGACTCCGTCACCCATCACCTACAATATCCTATCCTAAAGAGAAGAAAGCAGAAAATGTCACAAGTATTCAGCCATAACATCGGCTCCTTGAACACGACCAATTTCACTTTTCCTGCTACCGATGGCGGGACTAATGTCCTGGCCTGGCTGTCCCCACTAGATCCCAAGCTACGGCACCACGACATCCGAGACCGCCGAGTCGAGAATGTAGGGGAATGGCTCTTACAAACCGAGGAGTATAGAAGTTGGCAGGCCGGGAGTGGGGGAGCTGAATCCAATAGCCAAGTTTTGTTTTGCTATGGAGATCTGGGCGTTGGAAAGACGTGTATTAGGTAACAAGGCCAACCTTCGGGGACTGGGGGAAAAAGAGCAAGTGCTGACAAGCCCGATATTAGCTCATTGGTGATAGACAGCTTGGGTAATCAGGCTAGAGGGGAGAATGTCACCGTTGCGTGTTTTTACTTCGACTTCGCCGCCCAAAGGGACCAGTCACAGACGAGCATTCTAGGCGCCCTGCTCAAACAGGTTGTTAGCGGGCTGGGAGGGGTGCCGCGGGAAATTGTGCAAGACTATGAAGAGCAGAAAAAGGTGATTGATGGGCGGGGACCGCTACTTTCCGATATCGTGAAGATGTTGCAGACTACTTCTTCAGCAAAGCGTACATTCATATGCATTGATGCTCTGGATGAATGTGTAGCAGGATATCGGTTAAAGCTTCTCGATTCGCTAAATAAGATCCTCCGAGAGTCTCCAGGTGCTCGAGTATTTGTGACCGGAAGACCGCACATTCAGGCTGAAATCGGGAAGCGCCTTTCTGGAAGAGTAAAGACTATATCCATCACTCCCAGGAGAGATGACATCATTAGTTATCTTGAGACCAGGCTAGACGGGGACACGACACCAGATGAGATTTTGCGCTATCATGTAAACTTACTATACCCTTTGAAGGTTAAATTCGGGCGAGTGACAGCTTGGGGCAGGGTCATAGTACTGCCGAGGAAAGAGTGGCGGTAACTACCCTATTCACTGGGACAATCCACCATCTCCGGCAAAACTCTTATCTCCGTAAGCGGGGGCGGGATACATCGAGAAGGAATAGAATTTACTTGATGAAATAAGGTGTCTGAAACTTGTGGATCTCATGCACTGGAGTCCGCAATTTTTAGCTCGTCTAATCATAGTGCATCAGGTATGATAAACAATACCGTACCGTACTGGGATTCTGGCCACGTTGAATGACGCCAAGCGACATTCCTACATATAGTACTCTTGCGTAAGTACAGTACAGTACTGTACGGTACTCGAGTACCGGTGCCGTAAGATGAACTGTACTCGACGTTTTTTAAAGTCTCCGGAATGGGAAATGAATAAGTGATGCACCGATGGCGTAACTACTGGCTTCACCTCACCGATATTTGCAGGAACTTACAGTAACTTGGCACCGGGCCCGTAACCTACGTTCCGGAGACTTTAAAAAACGCCGAGTACCGTGGGCCTAGATCAGCCAGGGCAGCCCAAATTCCAACAACGGTACCGCAATACCCCACGCACGCCGCACCGACATTCCGCCGGCAAGATCTCCTCACGACTACTCGGCCTAGGTACTTTACCACCTGAGAAAGCACGCTGGTGCCTAGCCTCGAGACCAGAGGAAGTGTCACATTTCCTCCCACCGATCCAGTATGATACAGTACCCGTGTCCAGAAGGTGGAGGGAGGGTGTTGGAAACTTTGGGAGGGCACTTGGTTGGACAGCCTAGAGTCACGCATCAGGTTCCACAGGAAACCCCGCTTCCCTCAGCACTTAGGAATTTCAGTAGTCGACCGACTCCATTATCCATCGCCTACAATACCGGTACTGGTCTCCTAAGCAGCAAAAAAGGAGAATGTCTCAATCATTCAGTAATAATATCAACTCTTTGAACACGGCTGTTAACGTGTGGAACAACTGCACCATCGCCGATAACAGGTCTCAAATCTTGGCTTGGCTATCGCCCCTAGATCCCGGGTTGCGACATCAGGACATTCGAGACCGCCGAGTCGAAAGTGTGGGGGAATGGCTCTTGCAAACCGAAGAATTTAGAAGCTGGTACGCCGGGAGCGGGGGAAGTGGATCCGATAACGCGCTTTTGTTTTGCTCTGGAGATCCGGGCGTCGGAAAGACGTATATTAGGTAACAAGAACGGACCTCAAGGACTGGAAGAAAAAGAGCAAGTGCTGACAAGCCCGGTGTTAGCTCATTGGTGATAGACAGCTTGTGTGATCGGGCCAGAGGTTTAAATGTCGCCGTAGCGTGTTTTTACTTCGACTTCGCCGCCCAAAAGGAGCAGCCATCAACGAGAATGCTGGGTGCCCTTCTCAAACAGGTTGTGGGCGGACTAGAAGAGGTACCGGGGGAAATAATGCAGGACTATGAGGAGCAGAAGAAGGTCATCGGTGGGCGAGGACCACTGCTTTCCGATATTGTGAAGATGCTGCAAACCATCTGTTCCGAAAAGCGTACGTTTATATGCGTCGATGCTCTAGATGAGTGCGCAGTGGGAGATCGGGCCAAGCTGCTGGGTTCGCTTAACCAAATCCTCCAAAAGTCCCCGGGCACGCGAATATTCGTGACTGGACGGCCACACATTTATGCTGAAATCAGGACGCGTCTTTCTGGAAGAGTAACGACTATACCCATCATTACTAGGAGAGGTGATGTTATTAGATATCTTCATACCAAGTTGGGTGAGGACGCAACCCCAGATGCAATGGACAGCAGTCTGCACGCAGACATCCTAAAGAAGATTCCTGAAGGTGTTTCAGAAGTGTGCGTGGGCCCGGCGACGCTGGGGAAGCCGCCTCAAGTTATTATGTTTACTAATAGATACATACTAGATTCCTGCTAGTCTCGCTGAATATCGATGCGATCCTACAGGAAACCACAATCCATCGTAGGCGACAGAAGCTCGACGCGATGACAGATGGCTTGGGATTGGAGGACGCTTATGTTGCGACAGTGGGTCGGATAAAGAGCCAAGGTGGGGAGAGGGAAAGGCTTGGCATGGCTGCGTTGATGTGGATCTCGCATTCGGAGCAGCCCTTGAGGCCTGATGAATTGTGTCACGCCCTAGCAGTCGAAATAGGGTCGGCAAATCTCA